CAAGTCACAAAGCAGAGAAACGACCCCGTGTCACCTGTGACCTGGTTAGCGTTTCGGGAACTGATCCGTGAGAGAGGCAAGCGTGGGATGTATCCACAGCGAGGACAGTGTCAAAAAAGGAAGCTGGGAGAAAGGTCCCAGAAGACTCTGGACTGGAGAAAAAGCCTTTCCCATCAGTCAGGAAATGGGATGTAGCACCATATCGCAGGCAGTCAGAAAATGCATCCCTCCCGGTCCACAGGCAACACAGCTGCAGAGACCAATTCTCACGCAGCAGAGGGACAGGATCACTCAGAAAAGCTGCAAAAGCCTTAGCAGTGTCCTTACAGCCCCACCCAGCTGAACCCCCAATCCCCTAAAGACACACACTCATGTCCTACCTCATAAATCCCAGGAACATTAGGAGAACGAGGCTGACGAGCCACCCTGCTGTCGCAAAGGCCTTCGGCATGGTTAGGGCTCCTGTTCCGACGATGAGGTTGAACATGTAAACCAGACCAACCTGCAATCAGCCACATAATCCAACATGAGAGTTCGCAGTTCTGCCAGAGATCATCCAAGACACCTCACACATGTACTGATTTAAATGGAGAGAGCAATCTTTGAGCAAGCAGGGTGGGAGCAAGCCCATGCTAGAAATAAATATAGGAGGGGACTGATAACCAAATAGAACAACGTGATTGTCAGCACATCTCTGGAGAAACTGATATGCCTCTCCATTTTTCTGATTATTTTTAAATATTTTTTTTTCTTTCTAACTTTTAAAGTTAGAAAGCATGTGAACTTTTTGTTTGTTTGTTTTCAAATCCACTGCCTTCTACCAGAAGGGTCTACACTGTGGATCGGAGTCTCTTCTTGTTTTCTGACCTGAACCTAAGTAGTGATGACTACGTACATAAGTTGCCTTTCAGAATCTCTTGTTCTTCTCTATTCTTAGTCAAGCAGGAAATATCCAAACAGAATTCTGATTCAAAGCCTGCTTGCCATTTTACCAGTAAGCAGCCGAGCACATTCTGAAGAAGCGGTTTTACTTCTGGAAGGGAAAGAATTTTATCCTCTCTGGCAATGAGCTTTTTTTCCTGCCCAGGGGCAAAAGATATCTGTGTACCTGGACAGGACCCCTTTGACTACAAATTTAGCTGAACTCAAGATCAAAAATTGCCCCAAAGGGGTTTTTTTATATAGTTCAGAGTCTCTCCAGGGGAGAGCCAGGAAAGAACTGTGTCTGAGTACACTTTTCTGAGTGTGGAGCAATTAATATCAGGAGAACTATTCCCCAGAGACCCTGCGAGGAATCCTGCCCTTCATTCACTGACATAAACACAGCAAATTCATCTTTTGACGAGTCTCCCAGAACGATGAAAAAAACCCCAGCCATTGCAGCTTGTAGGAAAGTTCTTTTCATTCAGCTGGCAGAGCTGTCATTCCCCACGCACAACTGAAGTGCCCAGGGCCATGACTCACTCTTCAGTGAAGGACTCTTGAAAAAACACCTCAGGTGATTTTCCTTGACTTTGGTCAAGTAGACAGAGATGAGAGTGGTGCCCGTGTGTTCAGTCTGGCTAGACATCTTCAGGGAAAGA